ACAGATCGGGCGCTCATTGATATATAAGAGGCCGGAAGTGACAGACGCTTGAGATCTGTCGGATCGATAGGAGTGAAGAAGTTTACGACCAGTTCTATGGGTCCGGCGGTGAATGTGAACACCGATTGGGTTGGAGTTACGCGAAGACCCGACTGTACGGCTGAGTGAAGCGTTTCAGTAAATACATCCATAAAAGCATAGGTATGACTGTCCACCCGAACCGCACCGGCCATACTAATGGTTGCTCCGGTCCAGAACTTGGTCCAATCTCCCCTTAATTGTCGGCCAGTCAACCAAATGGACAGGTATGGACTCTTCACCACCAGCGGTACGGCTGGTAATACATCTAAAATACATTTATTTTAAATTATACCTTATTTAGACAATACTCGCCATTTATTTGTTTGAACGTTGTCGAATTGCTCATCAAACTATACACGTCTAACCTTAAATCTCTTAATTCGTTACGTGTATCAACTAGGTCATTTTTTAACACATTGCGTTCGTGTTGAGTGACATTGAGTGTGCACCGCAAAGTATCTAGTTCGTCACTAAGTTGTATGATCCGCCGACGTGTGGCCATCAAAATGGGCTGTGATTTTTGATACGTCCAGTACTGTAGCCGTTGACAGAGCACGACGTGTGCCGAACCGCACAACACGTTCGCCCACTCGCCGTGCGTTTCGATCGCACCCACCGTTGAGTACAGGGATCTCATTGTCACGCAATCATAGCCGGGAGTGTCCGCGGCTGACCCGCGAGCCATCGACTGTACTCCATGTCCGTACCGTCGGTCCACTGGAAACCGGTCGGCGACCGACGACGCCTTCGTCGGGCGCCGATCCATACGTTAGTCCCGTCGGCGAAAACGCCGGTCAAATAGTGGACCAGAAATGACTGCTCGTCCGCCGTATGAATGGTGGCTAAAGTGGTGCTAAACGGCAACGCCTGGAGTCCGGCGCAGAATTCAACGCTCTGGGCGTATGTCATGGGAGGGGTTGTGTTGAACACACGGTAACACTTCTCGTCCCGATAGGCGACCCAACCCTCATCGCAAGGGCTGGTTGTTGTGGCTATTGTTGATTATATTAATTAGCATGTTTATTATATTGAAAATACAATACACTGGACTTAAAAATTAACTTATTTATTTACCTAGATAATAGTGAAATAATTGTAAAAACGCAATTGCAGTTAAAAGAGTTTTTGTCGTCATGGTAAATCTATTAATAATAAGGGTATATTAATATTAATTTTTGTATTACTTAAAAATCATTGTTATTT